ATGGTGCACACTAGACAGTTGGAAGGAGGTTGACAGAAAGTAAAGGCTTTGAAGTGAAAGCAGCTAGTAGGCTGGGGGCATTTTCCCTCTCTGAAACTCCTGGGGAAAAAGCAAAAAACTGCTACTACAAAAAGAAAAACAAAATCCATCTGTTTAATGAAATCCAGTTTATTCTAAAAGGCAAAAGCGTTTGCCCTCAAGAAACATCAAGACAAAACCAGATGTTTTCTCAGCAGGGCCCCAGAAGACCTCTTTCTGCCATAGGCGTTGAGTATGAGGGGGCCTGAGGGCTCTGGCTCCCTTCGGGAAGATGGTAGGGTGACTATCTGTCCCTAATTGGGTAGAACAGTCCCAAAATGGGAACATCAAGTCCCAGTCGTGGGCTCCATGACTCCATGACAGCATTTATCCCGGATTCCCAGCATCATGCAGGGATCTGAGTTTTCCATTCATGGCAGAAAAATGCAGGAAATGGTGGGTCATGCAGGGTGGCAGAGTTCAAGCCTGGAGGGGCTGCAGGAGGTGGGACGCAGGGAGCACCATATGCATGTGGCCAGGAATATAGCCCCAGGCAGCGGTGAAGAGCAGCTCCCCCAGCTGCCTGCAGGTAAGTCAGGGAGGGGGAGCAGATTGAGGCCCCCACAGTGAGAGTGGGAGTGGGGCTGGGGCTGCTGCCCAGCCAGGGAAATGCAGCAGGCCGAAGGCTGGGGCCAGGAGCAGGACAGAGCCACAGGTGGCTTGGCAGGTGGCGGGGGGTGGCTCCCTGTCACTGCACACACTCCCAGAGAGGGGGAAGCGGGGAGGCACACGCCCCTCAGATTTGTGCATGGGGTGGGGGCGGATGCAATTTGCCCACTGTGGGCTCAGGGCTCCCTCACCTTGTTGTCCTCCCCCAAGAAGCCCTGTGCCAGCCATGCCACCATGGTGTGGCACCCCCTGTCCACCCAGAAGCAGCAATGGCAGTGGTGCAGAATTGTACCCCTGCTGCTGCTGGGTGGGCAGGAGGTACCTAGCCATGGTGGCACAGCCAATATAGGGTTCCTGGGAGGGGGAGGGCAACAGGGCAGGGAGCCCTGAGACCACAGTGGGCAAACTGCATCCACCCCCAACCCCCCAACAGGCTGTTTGGCTCTGCTCTGCCTGTGCTGCTGTGGGGGGGGGGGCATCATCTGAGGCCTGTCCCCCAAGCAAAAAATAAAAGTCAATTGCCTATGCTTCCTACTCCTCAGTTGATCCTTATATATAACTTTATATATCTCCTTATATATAACCAGCATCTATTTCATATTCTCGAAATATTGGACAGATTACTCTTAAGGTCTGGACAGGAAAACAACTGACCAAGAGGTAAAAAGGGAAGAGAGGTTTATTGTTATTTTCTCCACAGTTGATATCAGTGGGTGTGCACTTTTATCTAAACTGTGATAGTTTAGCTCTTTCCATGGGGTACGAATATACATGCAGACAGTTACCACAGGGCAGCTGAGACATGATAAACCTCCACTCCCTCTTTAACTTACATACGTAGGTCATCTTCTCATACCCATTCTTTGACTAGATAGTCATGCTTTTCACTCTATTACACAGTGAAACTCAAGATACCCACATATTAGGAATGTTGCTCACTTACAGAAGCAGAAAGCTTTCTGATTTAGTGGTAGGGCAGCTGGCACCAAAGTTATAACCTTTGAAAGATCTGTTCAGATGAGTATCTGTCACATTTCGGTTCACATGTAGGACCAGCATGCCTGTCATTAATCCCAGTGCATTTCAGCCTTACTCTGAGCTGTTCCTGAGAAATGCAAGCAGCCCCTCCTACTTTTGGCATTAAAGGTTACCTGAAAAATGTCAAGACTGTTAATTGGAGTCTGAAACATAGCTGGGTAAACTGCATTTTTATGAAAACCTAAGACAGGTATGTGTATATCAGTTAATAACTCATTTACTATTGTTTAGCTATAGCTTGAAAACAATGCACTTCCGGGGAAAAGTGCAAAATTGAATCCTTCAGAACAGCAGTCAACAACCTTTTCTGTGTCTTATTGTCATTGTCAGTGTTCTTATATCCTACCTAACAGTTATTTCTGTGAATAAAATCACCTAAAAGCAACAGTGAAGCATGAGGTGGTGTAATGGTCCTGTCCAATTCCACCACACCTTACATAGTTGGTAGTGTGAAACAAAATACCCCTGAGCCTTGGTGATGTTTGCACAAGAGAATCACCACACCCTGCAATGCCTCACTGCATGAAAAGAGTAACATACGTAAGGAGAACACGTAAGTGTGGATAGCTCCAAATAGGTAGTCACTTGCAGATACATTGGTAGGAAGCTATCTTTTCTGTTCTATGTATGGAAAACAATCAAAAAAACCCAACAACAAAATCAGTTTTCTGCCAAAGTTTTAAAAGGTCTAAAACTCATCCTTTCAAAGCTAGAGACCACCCCCTGAGTTCCTTATAAACACAAAATTATCTTTCTTAAACTTGTTATAACATGGGAGTGTGCAGAGTAATTCAAGCATATACAGTGCAGCCTTACAGAAGGAGGACTGGTACAGCTACAAAGTGAATTTCACAGCTTTCTTTGAATGCCATGATTATATTCCCAAAATGAGGGTGAGTTCAGCAAGCCAGCAGAGCAGACTCAACAGTATACATACCTCAAGAAACTCCCTTCACTCGCACACCTCCTCCTCTCTGCCTGCCCCCCAACTAAGTCTGAGTGCCCAACTTCAATGAATATTGTTAGTGTGTGAAACCCAACATAAAATTTTAAGATGATAGATGACACAGATTTGAGAACCATCATGGTATATGTTCAGAACAGCAGTCTCAGATTTCATAATATCCCAGTCTTCCTAGCGTCTCTGCAAAGGTTTTCTGAGCATTTACAGTCCTTGTAATTTTTGAGTGCAATGGGAAGCACTAAAGAGAATAATTTCCACGCAAGTGTCAAAGTTTAAGATTCCAGTTGACAAACAAAACCCCTCAAAAAAGTGCTCAGACAGAAAGAAGCATGACTTGTTCTTTACCTCTAACTAAAATCCACAATATAAGTCACTGTCCCCCGAATCAGCCAAATCCAAACCTGAAGCAAATACTAGCTGCTTCACACAGGCCTACAGGGTAATACTATGCAGTTTAGAAAAGGAGGGACAAGACTACTGAATTTAATTTAATTGCAGTAGGATGAAGGACACAGAATGCAGTTACTCAGATGGAAATTTTATCAGGGCATTGAGCTTGTTAACATTAGATCTGCTCAAAGTGTAATAGAAACATGACCACACCATGAACCCCCTCATTTCCCTCCTTCCAAAAAGACAGTGCTTCTAATAATACAGTGCCTTCTTACAACATGGTGGTGTGTTTACTTACTAGTTGCTAAGAGTACCCCAACAACTGACTCACCAGTATCATTTCCTACTGTTATCATGTTTTCCTTTAAGGGCTTAAGCTTGTGGAAATATTCAAATAGTTTTTAAAATTTAATTTCTCATTCCAAGACACAGGTTAAATATATGTTTTCTTTTCAGCCAGTTGCAATTTTGTGAAACATCTATGAACTTCTAGTCAAGTGAGTTCCATAAGATAATAGGATTTTTTTTTAAACCAGCTTTAAAATATTACTCAACTACACAAGCCTTTAATTAAGGTTTATACTACACCTGTGTATACAGTGCACTTTGACTATTTGCCATGTACTGGCAAATAGATTTACAGGTCAATAGACCAAACATCCTGGTTGTAGCACAGAAATCACAAGAGATGGCATATGTAGATTTACCCAGATGACTGAATCAACTTATTTTACACTTCTGATACTACACACAAGAGAAAAAAAGAGTATAACTTTCCAAAGTGTAACCTAAAACCACTGACACAGCAATCACATACACTAGGACCTCTCCCACACTTAAGTTCTGTGGAAGTAATAAAAGAAAGATCAGAGCTTTGCATCCTGAATACAGCTTTGTTGCTTGCATTGACTCAACTCTTGGTAAATAAATATTGCTGGATTTTCAACATTTGAGGTTAGCAATGGGTGGGGGTGAACGATATGCAATAATAGCTGCCAAAGATAGGCTGATGGTCTCTTATAACAGGTTTGGAAACAGGAACAGGTTTGCAAAATCAGTTACTGTTTTGAAATACAGTAGTGTGCACATACTCACTGAACTTGTGTCTGACCCCTAGGCTGCTTTCTGCTCAGAAAGCTTTCTGCCTTCTGCCTTGTGTCTCAGGAGGAACTTTATATTTAAACCACAGGGGAAAAGCTCCACAAGACTTCACAAGAACTGAGAGCCCCACAGGACTGGTAACAAGTGCATGGCCTGGTGTTACAATTGTTTCAGGGGCAACAGACAGATGGAAGAATTAATTCGAGTACAAGCCGAGGAAGCAGAGGCATAGATTATGCTGCTGACCTGACAGCAAGAGCTGAGCAAGAAAATAGAGGCTCAACAGGCAGCAATTCTTTGAGCCACCAAGAGTATAAAAATTCCAAAGATGATGCCAGAAGATGATCTGGAAGCTTATCTGGAGTCCTTTGAAAGAGCTGCCTTGGCAGTTGAATGGGATTGGACTTGTTGGTCCAACCAATTAGGCTCCCTGTTGATAGGTCTGGCCCAGCCTACCTAGCAGGCCTTAGCCCAAGGTGGAGCTATGGATTACACAGAAGTAAGGAATATGATACTATATCAACTAGAGATCTCCCCAGAGCATCAGCAGCAGAGGGTTCAGACCAAGAAGAATCCAGAGAAGCAGAGACTGGCTCAGACACTAAAGGACCTGTTGTAAAGATGGATCCAACCTCAGGGAAAGACCATCATGGAAGTTTTGGATCTATTCAGTCTAGAGCAGTGCCTCACTTATCTGGAGGAGAACTCAAAAATGGGTCCAACGACACCAGCCCCAAACTATGGGAGAGGTTTTACATTTGGCCAAGTCCTTTACCATAGCGGAAGAAGATGCTGGAAGGGGGAAAGTTACAAGAAGCTGTGAAAACAACAATCACCAGATGGAGAGAATGGATGAACACCGAGTGAAGCATGCATCATGTGGGGTGTAAAAGAGTAAATACGAGGTAACCCCAACAGACCATCGAAAGATGGGGAGCATGTAACAGGGAGCCACTTCCCAGCCCCTGTTACTAGAGGTATCCCATCTACAACTGGGGTCTCTGCTTCACTCACCTGGGAGCCATGCCGGGCTTCCGCAATTACTGGAGGGCTCCCAGATGTGGCTGGGAGCCGGCCCCAATACCAAGGACAAGTGGAACCCAAGAAACTATGGGGTCCCTGCCCAACCCAGTCAGGAGCCACGCCAGGTTCCTGCCATCACCAGCCAGCTTGTCTGGGAGAGAACCCAGAAGTGTTGGCAAACCCCAGCTCCTGGCAATCATGTGGCTGGGGAGCCGGATGTGACTGGACCCTGAGAAACCCAACAGATTGAAAAGTAAGAGGACTAAGGCCTATAAACCCCCAGAGAGGGGAGTGCACGGTCTCCTGGAAGAGAGAGGTGCATTTCTGTGAGGAGGCACAGAAAAGGACCAGGAGCATGATGAATCTGGGTCCCAGCCCAGAGGCAAGCCTCAAGTAGTTGGAGTGAGCTGGTGAAGAGAAGTGAGCCACTTAACCCACTGGTGCCAGGACTGGGACACTGAGGAATGCCTTTTCATGTAGGGAGCAGTTGTGAGGCTTCTCAAGAGCAGCTGATGGATGGAGCCGTGGGCTGGTGATAGTACTGCTAGTTGGTAGGATACCACCAGGGAAGATGCAGATTCAATAAATCTGTAGGGCAATAAATACATAACTGATAAGACATAAATGGGAATTAATTGATTGATGAAAAATCCTTCCTGAAAAGGGCACACAGGAGTTAAACAGTTGGCGCTTGACTCTCATGGTGAGCAGCCATAAACAAGGGCCCTTTTGATTGAAAGCATGCATAGAAGGCATTCATAAGAGTTGAAAGGGGCATAAACTAGGACTGATTGAGCCCCAAGAAACTCATGATTCACAAGGGGCTAAATACATGTTGAATGACTGGGTGAGCTACTGGTAGAGACTCAGGCACACCTGGTAAATCATAGGTCCAACCCAACAGATGAGACAAGGGCAGAGTGTAGGGAAGGTAGACCCCTGTGAAGAGGACATACTCCCCATCAAACAAATGTTGTTTCAACATTCAGCTTCTCTTTATTTGTTTAACATCAAGGTGTGGCAGGTGAGCATAAAGAAGTGGGCAGTGGCTGGGTCATCTTTGGGCAGAGATTAAATTAATCACGATTACAAATCTGATAAAGAACCAACTTCTCCATTTAGATCTTCTTGCTTAACTGTGGAGTGTGTGGCAGGAAGGACATGAATGCAGAAGAAAAAGGAACTTTGAGCAGGAGATCAGAAGGAGTGTTAGGACATAGGGGGTGCATCTCCACAAGATGTTCACTATGGAGTTGCCCAATTAGCTCCACAGTAAAACATCACTGCCTACACGTGTGGCGCTATTAAGACGGAGCAAACTAATTAACTCCACAATAGGATAGTACTGCCAGACACAAGTACTGTCCTATGGCAGAGTTATTTACTCCACCACAACACATGTGTAGATACTGATAGGGGTGGCTGGGGCAGAGGGGTGCTTCAGTATAGGGGCTGCCTCCCAACTAGCCACACACTGAAGCATCCTCATGCCCCAGCCAGCCCCTCCACAGCCTGTTGAGCTGGAGCAAAGCAGTCCCAGGCTGGCAGACTGACTCCCAAACCCTCCACCAGCCAGGGCTGCTCTGCCATGACTCAATGTGCCATGGTCCTGGGCTGACTAAGGAGCAGACGTGATGCCTGGGAGCAATAAGCTTCATCCACAGGACTATTGCTGCAGTCAGTCCTGTGAAAGTTTTATATGATTTTGTTCCCTCAATTCTCTGACATCCTCCATTTGATGATTCAATACCTCCACAAGGATATTTTCCCTTTCAGCAAATAAATTACAGCATTATGAGTAATCTATCCATGGAACTGGCAAGGCACACTATATATTCAGCTTGCTCCGTGGTTGAACAGTAGTAAGCCTCAGAGACGCAGCGAGTGCTTGACTTCATCACTGAGAAAGACAAGGTACTGTACCTATTTCTAGAGATTATTTATTGTCATTCTTATTTTGCACTGCTGTGTTGGCAACTGTACAGTAAGTATAGACAGAGGGGATTTGAATAGGAAGTAATGTATTTTATCGGTATGATGGATACTGTCAAGTGAGGGTTCAAGTTTATTTATTTCTTAAAGAAGAAAAACCACAGCAAGGTCAAAAATAGTCAAGGTTTACTCCAGACAGTATAATGTAAGGCAGGCTCAGATATGGATACACACACACACACTCAAGTCACAGTGTTCTTTCACAGATTTTTTGAAGTTTCTCTTTATTTTGCTGAAATTTGGAAGTTTGTCTTTATTTTGTAGTTATGTAGCTTCTAGCACATTGGGTCCTTATCTTGGCCTGGGATGTCAGGTTCCATTGCAATGAAAATATAAGTAAAAGTTCTATCATTATCAGTTAAACAACCCACAACAGAAGCCTTGCTGTGATAGCTGAAAACTATGTCTGTGTGATAAAGGTGCTTGCTGAAGGCTCTATGAAGATTAGACCAAGTGTTTTTCTGTATTTGTTTAGATATTAAGCTGTACGTTGTTGCTAAAAGCCTAATTAAATTTTAAGATGTAGTAAGGCCTTGTATAAAGTAAGGCCTAAGAAATTTAACAAAGCCTTGAAGTAGTAAGGCCCTGTGGCATAGTTAAAAATTAACCTCATCAAAGGAAAGCAAGGCTTGTACTGATATTGGTCAGTACAGGGACAGCTGAAGTAAAAAGAAGCCGAGTGGCTATATGTTATCAGTACCGTTCAGAAGCTATGACTTGGCTGGACAATCCGGAAATCACAGTCATTCTGAATGAAGATACAGCTCTGTAAAAAGGATTAGTTAGCTGTTAGCCTGGATCTGTGGGCCCGTGGAGCTTGAGGAGCCCAAAGACTAAATTCCAGGGTCCTTCCCAGTACCTCTCAGAGACTGCTGATTGGGGACGTCAGACTTCGCTGAACTTTGTGGAAACAGAAACTTCTTGTACATCAGGCATCAGAGGGAACTGTCGATAAGCTGCCGACACGAATTGTTCTCGTCTGTCAGTGTTTATCTTGTTATTACGCGTAGTTGTGTTTTTGTTAAGTCAATAAACCTTTCTCACCTTTCTACTCCTGACTATACTCTCAATCCCTAACCCTCCGCAGGTGGCTGAGACACCCTGCCATGAAAAAAAGAACTGGAAATCTAGTGACACGAGTGAATACTAATCAGACAAACACCTTTCAGAGTTGAGACAGTGTTTCAGATTGTTACAGGTAGAAGGTTTCACAGAAGGAACAGGCTTTCAGGAGGGAAAACTGCAGTACAAGGCACTTGACATATTAGTTCATAGTACAGCCTGAAAAGACTAGAAAGAGGGTTCATTATCATCTGCCCATATTCTGATGGGTTGATTAGTTTGACCATGCTTATTTTCACTCTTAGACAAATGTCCAAAATGCTTGGATTTGCACAAATAGGAACAAACAATAAGCCATGAAAGATCATATAGGTTTTTGGGGGGTTTTTTTACCTTGTCTGGTACCTGGTGTCTAACAAAGGCCAATATCAAATGTTGAAAAGGAAGGCAGACATAGGTTAGACATAATACAACCTGCACTAGCCTCTTCCTAACCCTGAAAATATCTGATTAAATCACCTACGATAAAAATATTTTTATTCTAGGTAAGTTAACTAATTTTCTCAGTCACCACAATCACAACTAATTCTCTTTTGAATCATAGTAATCTCTTTATAACTTCATAATAACTTTTGGCAATGATGTCCACAAATTAATTGTGCTACGTGTATTTTGCTTAATTCAGTGTAATTGAATTTTCCTTTCATAAGGAAGGAGTTGTTCTTTATGCTAATACCTACATTCACAAACACATTAAGGTATTCTCTCTAGAAAAAGAAATGCTGTGTAAATTAGAGTGGCTAATCATACTTCTTGAATAACAAACAACAGTTGGTTGAAGTGAACAGTCCATAGAGAGCTGACAGACCAAAATGTATTCACCCAAATCCCAGAAGTTTTCAGATATAAAATACTTCTATGAAAGGCACAATTAGTCTTTGCCACAAAAAAGATCAAGTTAACTATATTTAGAAAAATAGTGCTGTATCAATGATCTTTTAAAAGGGGAAGTTTTTTTTTAAAACATTTTTAAAGGATTTAAAAAAAAACAAAAAAACACAAACAAAAAACAACCCGCATACACAACAACAACAACAACAGCTGTACAAAGGAAAGAGCAATCCTCAACCAACATCAGCTACTAAGGTCCAAATGACTATTTAGCTGCCTGTACTATAAAATTTAGCCCTTCAGGGTAGCTGTGCCTCAGCCACTTTCAAACCACTTTAATTTCTTCAGTAGGAAATAGCTTATCATAATTATTGCCCAAGCCTGTCATCTTAACGTATTTTTCCTCCCTATCTTTTCATGCAGATTCAAAACAATGGAAGCTTTGAGCATAGCAAACACTGGGTTTGCTCTTGACTTTTTCAAACAGGAGTGTAAGATGCAAGCCAACAGAAACATCTTGTTCTCCCCTTTGAGTATTGCATCTACTATGGCCACGGTGTACCTGGGCACCAAAGGTAGCACGGCAGCTCAGATGGCAGAGGTAAGTCGGGACTACAGGAGCTCTCTGAAAAAGCTGCTACTGTTTAAGGAGAGAAAAGCTAACTTAGCCAGAACCATAGAAGGCAAGCCAGCTGCTGGCTTTTGAGGTGTACTTCCCTGTCACTATGCTTAAAGATCTGCCTTTCCTGACCCGCTTCTCCCTCCAGCACATAGCTAGTCTCCTCCAAAATCCAAATGTCAGGCTGGGACCCTTTCCCAATTGGCCCCTACAGGCCCAGGCAAGGTCCCTTTTCACCAAATTCACACCTTTTCCTTTCAATAAACTGTGTCTAGCTCTGCTGCATAGTGTTTGCAGAGCTATAGGTGTTTGCAGCATGTGAATAAGAGAACCAGAGGCAGAATCCAATACATCAAATCAGGCAGGAGCATCAGTTAAAGGTCCAGAAGTAAAAACTCAAAAATGAAATACTAATTGTCATCAGGAGGTAGGAGTAGGGACTTCCCAACTCAGCATGTTGCTTACCACTTTCCTACTATTTCCTACTGTTCAACTTTAGCTCGGATCATATTCGCAACACATTGCCATAAGAGGTCATTCCAAATCAGAGCAAGCACTGAAGGCCAAAAGTACATGCCTCTTTAGCAACCGTGCGTGTCACATGTATTGCAGAAGACTGGAGCCTGGGTGCTTAATTCAGGGCTGTTTGATTCTGTTGTGGAAGTCAGGCACATTCAGGTTAATCAGGAGAATTTTCAGCATCACAGCACTTAGGTTCACAAATTAGAAGCTGTGAACCAGGGTTTGGGAATATATAGCAGGCAAGTGGCAGAGGCAAGAATAAAATCCAGGTCTAGGTCTCCTGCCCCCTAGTTCCATGAGATAATCATAACATCTGACATGTAGAGCAAGTCGTCTGCCACAGCAATTATTCTGTCTGCAATTTTGATTGTAGGTGCTTCACTTTAACGAAGTCCAAGGAGTTGGAATGGCCACTACCACTACAAAACCACAAACCTATTACAAGGTGGAAGAGCTTCTGACAAACCAGTGTATCAGCCTCCAGAAGGTACCATGTCCAAACAAATATCTATAGTTTCCAAGCTATAAAGCAGGCTTACGTCTTTCCTAGGCTTCCTTTCCTTCCATGTTTGCATTTGCTTTCATTTGTCTTGCTGGCATGAAATATTCACAGTGGGAATACCTACTTGTGCCATTTACTGTGGAGTAGCCTAATTAGCTCCACAGTAAAAAGTATCACTGTCTACACGTGCGATGCTATTAAGTCACAGTAAACCAACTCTGCTGTAGGATAGCACGGTCTGAAATAAGTACTGTTTTACAGCAGAGTAGTTACATGCAGCAAAATGCACATGTGGATGGTAATAGAGCTGGCTGGGGTGTGAGGGTGCTACTGTGTAGATACTGCCTCCTAAATAGCCCTGCACTGGAGCACCCTTGTACTGCAGCTAGCTCCTCCACAGCACATTAAATCTGGGTTGGAGCAGCCCCAGGTGGGCAGGCTGACCCCTGGGTCCCCTGCCAGCCAGAGCTGCTCCGTCCCAGCTCAATGTACTGCAGTCTCAGGCGTATATGTAAACGCTGCATCCGGAAGCAATAAACCATGGTGCAAACTGTTCCAGAGCTTATTGCTACATGCTAATTGCACATCCAATCACTGGGTGCATCTACATACACAGTCTGAGAGGTTTCCAGTAAATACTGTCTTCTTTATTGCAAATGTTAAGACAAACGTCTCTTTTTTTAAAAACTGAAAAATAATGCTGTTTTCTCATCTGACTCTGAAGAGCTATAACATCCTGTGCTTCTCCAACTTCCCCTCTCTCTTTAGAGTTTTAGTGGATTTTCTCTTGCTTACTACTTTCTGCTTATTAAATAGCTCATTATTAAAAAAAAGGAGAGAGTATGCTTTGTCCTGCTGAAGACATAATGCATACAACAATCAGGGATGATCCCACATGAAAAGAATGTTGGTTTATACAAGCTGCCTGACACATTTTAGAGAAGGAAGGTTAGTCCACATCTACATGAGAATGCTCGTGGATATACTGAAGTGCTGAAATTCTGACATAGATCAAATTCTTGTTGTGGGAGTAGAAAAGCAAATAAAGCACTTAACTTATGAAATACTTTCTGTGTGTTAAAGGAATATTGCCCAACACAAATGTTATTTCACCATTGATTTCAGTAACATTGTTGGTGCAAGGGAGAACTAATTTCAGCTCCCCACAGAGCATCTACACAAGATGCTAACTGTACAGTAGTTGAATAATACTGCATAGTAGCACACAGTACTAACATGCTACTGTGCAGTATTATTCAGCTACTGCACAGTAGCATCACTAAAGAGGTGTTCACTAGTGCTACTGTGCAGTAACTCCAGTTACTGCTCATTTATTTAGTACTTGATTATACAAGTACTAAATAAATGCACAGAAACCACTGTGTTAGCATCTCATGTAGATGTGCCCCCGAATCAGTAAGGGCTACTATATCATGTCCCCATAACAGCTTTAAAATGTAATCTCTCCTAACAGAGAAGAACACACTTGGGTTCTGATGAATCAGTACAAACCAAGCCAAAGCCATACTCTTTCAAAGATAGCAGCATTCACTATTCTAACTGCCTTCACAAGCCACAGGCTGTTAGGGGAGCAGGGGCTGTTAACTTTCTGCCTGTAGAGACCTGCCATAGTGACAAAGCATCAAGCCCAGTATTGAGTTCTAAGGTTCCCCGTGTGCAATTGAGCAGCAGTCATGTCAGATTCAGTGACATGTCTGCATTTGAAAGCTGTGGCAGCTCTGTGGCTGGGCTGAAGTGTTAAGGAATTTCAAATAGCTTCCGACAGCTTTACACCCGATATAATTTTATGGGGGAGTACAGCATGGTCCCAAGTTGTACCTTCACCCTGGAGCTTTTAACTTGGGTGCAATCCTACCATTCATTTTCTCTAGTAGCTTTCTGTATAGTACCTAAACTTTTACCTCAACTGCCATAGTTCATTACTGCCTTTTAATACTGGGCCCAAAACTACTAGTTCTCTGCTTAATTTTCAGTTCATGCAATTTTAATGCTCAATGTTTCTTGTATACCAATACAAGCAACTCTCAAGTTTACAGTATTGGTAGTGATGGCTTTTCAATACCGGGATCAACAGGTCTAGGTATTAAAGGTCAAACTTTTAAATGCAAGAATTTAAGTTTCCATGGATATTAAGAGTCATGCAACCATATTGCACAAGCTGTGCTATTACTCTCCATGCGTCTCTGCTATATTTTGTATAATTTCTGTAGATACCTGTAATTGCAAGATGTATTTCAGCCCTATTCAAACTGTTAGTAATGATTTTGCATCTCTTAGCTGCCTGCTGGCTATGTTCGTCCACTAGATGGAGATTTTCCTATAATGCATTAAGGGTGTTGGCAAGAATAAGGTAAACGCCTAAGACACAGCTGACAAAGAATAGCTTAAATGACGCAATATTACCTGTAATTATCACCACCAAGACTATGTGCAATGTGTCATATCTGATGTATTGAATCACTTGTCCCAAAAATGCAGGTAAACAACCAGAAGTTGTCTTTTTTCTTTCCAGACTAATCTTGATAAATCAAGTAATATCCATGCAGCATTTCAAGAACTTAACTTTGAAATCAACAAACCCACTAAAAATTACCTGCTTAGAAGTGTCAACCAGTTATATGGAGAAAAATCATCACCTTTCAATACAGTAAGTACAGAATCTGTTTTAACTAAGAGAGACCATTTAATTTTTATAAGTACTGCTTGTATCGTATATTGACAGTCTAATAAATATGCTAATTTCAGCTGCAGATTGTTTTGTTCTTTTAATATTTACTTCCTACTGGCTTTTTGTGGAAATTTATATCAAGTTTACAGACCTTTTATGGTCTGTACAGTATCTCAGTTCACTTGTTTCTTTGAGCATAGAAAAATCTGTCATAATTTGAATTATTTTCTTTGTTGGCCCGTATGTATGGCAAAATATTATACATGTAAGACCTTTATCCATCTTGCCTCACAGGAATATTTACAGTCAGTCAAGAAATATTACAATACAGAGCCACAAGCTGTAAATTTTGTGGAAGCTGCAGAAGAAGTCAGAAGAGAAATCAATGCCCAAGTTGAATGCCAGACTGAAGGTGAGCCCAAGGACATTCCTTTTACACATATTACAAAGTGGAACACAGGTATTCCTCCATCTTCAGTATTTATGTCTGGAGAGAGAAAAGCCACAAAAAACAAAAACACCACACACACTGTGACATTCTTCACTGGAATCAAGTTACAAAATGGTTGCCATCTGTTTGCCAGAACAAAGTTATTTCTGTTGCATCACAAGAGGGGGGAAAAAACCCAATGACCATTAACCTCCAGTCACACTAATATGTATGATAGCAGTTTGACCTTTCTGCTCCTGAAGACCATTACCACAATGGTGGGTGTAAACTTAGATAGCCAAGTATGCCTCAGAATGGTGTGTTACCAGATTTGCCCATTACTTTGGGATGTGCTCATTTATTAGGGACGTTGCTTAGGGTCTTTGTAATTCTATCAGATGTGCTGCTTGTGTTACTTGTGTTTTTATACGGAGCTGTATATCTCCCTTCTGCAAGTCCTCACCCCCCAATGGGGCTATCTTGCAGGACTCTATTTCAATGGGGCTGGGTTCCTCCAGTCACCAAATCAGTCATACACACAAACACACAGAGATTAATGTGACATGCCTGACCCGGCTGGGTTGATCAGCATGGACAGGCTGACACCCCCATATGCCAAGAATCAGTTCATCAGAGCAACAATAAACTGCAGTCAGACAAGCACACAGGTAAACAGAATACCTCTGAATCTGTCTGGGTGTCCAGCTGACACCCGCATGGGCCAGCATTCAATTCATTAGGGCATGTCTGAGCCAAACTGGGTCAATCAGCCTGTACAAGCTGATCCCCTTATGTGTTCTGAACTCAGCACATCCCAATCTTTAGCTTCTTGATGAGCAGACCTCACCGTATTTCTGGGCTTCACAGAGATCTTTGGCTTAGGTAAAAGAAGGGTTGCTGCAGAGCAAGTGGGGAAGGAGACGTAGAGAAGGAAAAATATACCCAGTTACTTCCAGTTTGACTATAAAAGTTATTTATTGCTAAGTATATGAAATATATAACGGTACTAGTAGTAATAGACATGCAAAGGAAAACAAACAATTACAATACTATCCTGATTTCACTAAGTATTTGGGGAAACTTAGCTCAAGCTTAACGAATACAATTCAGGTTCAGAAATGTATGCTGAGAGAAAGAGGGGAAAGAAAAAAAAAAAAAAGAGAGAGAACACACATGCACACGCTGGGATCTCACCAGTCCAAGGCACTTGGGTTCCAATGCTGACAGGTAAAGTTCTTAGCACAATCCTTGAAGGGAGACACGATCTGTTCCTTCCAGCTTCTCAGGAACAACAGCAGATGGTGTCAGAGGGACTTCTCCTCTTGAAGCACAACTTTGCTGCTTTTTTACAGATTTTTATACCCTCAGTTCAGCTTCTTCAAAGCATTCTTTTAATAGTGTAAGTAGCTTAGTTGTCTTTTCTATTGAGAAGGGGTTATCTGGTTTAGAACAATCAAGAAACTGATCAACAACCAGGAAAAAACTTAAGTTTAAGGGTAAATAGACACTTAGGAGCCAGCTTGAACTTCCTGTGGATAGCAGATATACTGGATAGGATACCTCATTGTTTCTTCAGAAACCATAGATAGCTTGCAGCGTCAGGGATTTGTATTTATCTGTTGTGAACAAGCCTCAACTTAGCATGACTTTTCACAAACTTGTGAGGAGGACTTCCACCAGTCATCCTGGGAAAAGTATGGCAACACTTGTGGTCAGGGCTCCAACAGGCTGAACACTGTGATAAACCCTTTATCATTGTTCAAATGTTGCCCATTCCCCCTCTGACTGTCGCCTCAGCATTCCCTAACCCAGCGACCGAATTTTAGCCAATCAAGTTTAAATGGGACTCCCATAGTGGGACCGGGGAATGTACGGCCCAAGATACCTATTAAAAACTTTACTTCTGCTTAGTTTTGGGTAGATGGTGCGTTGGTGTTGGGGGGGGGGGGGGG